CAACATAGGATTAGAATATTAGCAAACATACAACTCTTCTTTTCTCCATTTTTCTGTATGCAAATATCCTGAACAGAGAACAAGATATTAAAAAAGTGTTGTCTGTAAGACTGAAGAAAATTCATGTGCATTTGTAGGTTTGTTGAAATAGATGCATTAAAAACGGATCTAAATGCAGGTTTGCTGATCCCTTCACCAGCCACCAGGTTGTGCTGTTCAGTCATTTAAAGTTGTTTTCTAGGCTGTTGAAGTAAAATTTCAGCTACTTGGAAAAAAATGTCACATTTTGGAAGACAGCAGAGCACAAAGACGAGCAGTGCAGGCCATATGACAACACAAGCTGCTCAAATCATTACGGCATGTAGCATTAGCTTTTTGAGGGAGAATTAATTATAAAAATGCAATAAAACTAGCAAACTGCAATGTTCCTACAACCTCAACCTTTTATGAAACTAAACACTTGTAACACAGGGAAATAATCCTGCAGTTTTCAGTGTTGTTGTTTTCCAGTCATTTGGTTTTGTCACTGATACTTGCATAAGAGTTAAACACAATGGAACACCTTTACTCCACTTTGTACTTTCTTATCACCTTTAAGAGCATGAAATTGCAGTACAAAGGTCATGCTCAGGCTGGACCTTGGAAGGACTAGCACATGTTCTGCTCTCTGGCAAAGGAGAAAGACCAAAAAAAAATTACGCTGACTGCCAAAAAAGGTAATATTAGCATGTTTCAATCTTTGCCAATAGAAATTAGTGATTTCAGTAGTTATTTTGAGATTTGAAATTACATTTATGTATTTTCAGAAGTTCATTTTTAACTGAAAGCGTGCATTATTTTTTCTTCTTGCTCCAATGGTTTTGATTCCCACAGGTACAGTTAAAAAGTTATTGTATATTTAATTTAATTATAAGCAAAAAACTAGATATAGATAGACTAGATGGAGGGTAAATAGTAGGATTTTTATTGACAAATTACTGACAAAAGCTGTTTCTATAAAAACATTACTTGTATGGAAAATTATGCATTTGATAAAATATAATCTAAGATATAATATGTTTTCTTCCATAAGAATAAAAATGAATTGGCCCTGGGTCTGGATCATGCTCTGCTTCCTCTGTCCAACTGTGGTTTATGGTGGGAAAGTGCTTGTTTTTCCAGTGGATGGGAGCCACTGGGTGAACATGAAAGTCATCATAGAGGAACTACACTCAAGGGGCCACCAGGTTTCTGTTGTGCGATCGTCAGACAGCTGGTACATCAAGGAAACCTCACTGTTCTATACCTCAGTTACACTTGATATTGAGTCTGGATTTGATGAAGACTTTATAACTAAGTTTGTGGCCCGGTTGCTGGAAATCCAGAGGGAAGGGAAATCTGCTTGGACACGTTTTAAACTGGAAATGGAACAAGCACAAAAGGCCTCTGAGATGTATGAGAAAACGTGCAAAATGCTTGAACTGCTTTTTGAAAGCAAAGATCTGATACAGTCACTAAAAGAGGCCAAATATGACCTTGTCCTCACAGATCCTGCCATACCAGGCGGTGTTATACTTGCCCACTATCTCAAGTTACCTCTTGTATTCAATGTCAGATGGACTACTCACGGCGAAGGCCATTTTTCAATTGCACCTTCTCCTCTTTCTTATGTTCCCATGACAGGGACCGAGCTCTCAGATAAAATGAGCTTTCTCGAGAGAATTTTTAACACCATAATTTTTGTTTTTACAGAATATCAAATTGTGCATTATGTCTTACCAAATTATGCTGGTTTACTTGAAAAATATTTAGGTCCAGATGCAGACTACCACTCCCTGTTTCAAGCAGCAGACCTGTGGCTGATGAGAGTGGACTTTGTGTTTGAGTATCCTCGT